ATAAATATTTACCGCTATTTAGTGATGTTTCTAAAGAATTTAAACACCCTGTTATTTGCAAATGAAGCAACCAACGTTGGACTAAGATTTATAGACCCTTCATAAATGTTTACAAGCCACGTGATCGCCCAGCCCTAGCCCAACATTGAACAATTGAGTGAGATAATGACCAACCGTTATATCTACGCTCGAGATAATGCGATCGCTGATTATCGAATTATACATAATGTATATTGTAATTCATATTCTAAGAGTGTTTAATTCAAAATGAGCTCGGAAAGAGAAGACGAAGCATTTACCAGGGGTAGTATTGGAAGCGGCACAAAGTGCTGTTTCACAATTAATTCCCAAAAAATCATCGAGACAGTACGAGATTGCCTACAACGAATTCAAAGGGTGGTGTAGTTCGAAGAAAATTCAAAAAGTGTCCGAAACGGTATTACTGGCATATTTCGAACATAAAATTAATAAAATTAAACTTTCGACATTATGGTCAGTATATTCCATGTTAAAAAGTACACTGAATTCCAAAAAAAATGTAAATATCAGAAAATTTCCAAAACTAATACCATATTTGACAAGCAAACACTTATAAAAAAGTGTTGACTAAATGATTGGCGTCAACAAAAGAAGGAATGTGCCAAAAGAAATAGCAACTTATATCAATTTGCCTTATCCGGAAACTTATATAGACGTTCTTCCGCCACTCTATTAGCCGACGCAGGGGCCGATATTACCACTATTAAACAACATGGGGGGTGGCTCTCTAGTGCGGTAGCGGAGGCATATATGTATAGAAGATTCTATACAATATAAAATTTCAATCGCAAATAAATTGTTACCATCTTCAGCAGAGCCTAGGTACTTTACAATAACACAACGTGCGCAATAAACTTAAATCAATTACAGCAGCAGCCTCATTGAACACCCAGAAATAAAAGCTACGATAACTGACATCGTTGGATCTGGCATAAATTTAACTCGCTGCAATATCGGCACTTTCAATTTACATGTACCTAGTGCAAAATAAATTGTAATCATCCTGTTTATAATAGTTACTGTTTTGTATTGAAATGTTATATTACTTAAAACGTATATTGTTTAATTAATAGTCATAAATAAGTTTCGAAAAAAAGACAATTATTTTGGCATTTGTTTTATGTTCTAGAACGAATAAGACTTTGGCGTTCTAGAACAAAAAAGTAAAAGAGACTTACTTTGTCAACTGAAACTATAACGAAAGTGTCGACTTTTGATGACAGTTTTCGAAAAATCTAATTATTTGTTTTTTTATTACAAAAATTGCAATATGACATTCCCACAGCGTATGGTATTTCCTTGAATATTTCATTATTTAATCTTTATTTGCATTAATAATTATTATTACAGCAAAATTTTCTGATATCTACCCACTTTTTTTATGAAATCATTCCATTCTAAATCCAATATTAGACTACTTACTTAAAAAGTAGGTAATTATAATTTTTACTGTAGAAAGTTTCTAAATTGCTTGAACTCCCGTTAAAAAAAACATCTCTATATAAGTATGTATTTTATAAAATTTCAGTTATAAAGTACCTATATTAATAAATACTTACATAATTTCAGTAACTAGGTATATCAAATAAATATAAACTAACTTTCACCTAAGGATTTTACAATTTTTAACAACATTCATATTATCAATCATATTAGTATCCTAAACTAATCATAAAACAGTATTCAAATACCTGTATTTCCCTTCCTTTCACTATATAGGAATCACTTTTTTAAATACTGTTCCAAATAAGTAGTAAAGCCAAAATATAATTCTAACAAAAATGTTCCAAAGCAACCACTAAGAGTGATCATTTTGAGTATTAGTTAAGAAAACACACCATTAGTTAACCAAGCCTAATTTGTACCTAAAACACTGGTCTTATAAATGAAAACCAGAAAACCTATATCTATGTCATTGTGATTACTCTTAGTTTATTGAGAACAAATTCAACTTCAATCTCTAGGATTAGTAGACTTGTCGGTCCCAAAGTAGAATCAGTTAAAAATAAAATCAATTATTGATACTGGAATAATAAAATTAATATGTCCCTAATATCAATGAAATTCCTATTTGGGAACTAGAAGTTTTTTTATTATTGTAACAATCGAGGTAATAATCGTATAAAAATATAACGCTATAGTCTTAAGGCTACCTCTACTTCTGGGGAATTACCTACGAATAAATAAAATTGTATAGAAATGATTTGTTTTTTATTAGTCAACCAGATAATTCTTTACTGATAAAAAAGGTAATCAATAGATGAAAATAATTTAGCCTAAATTTAAGCCAAATCGAGAGGTTAGGCACTCACTAAGGTAAGTAGACTTACATAAAGTTTGGCTAGTGGTTTACCCCTCGATAACTAAGTTTAGATGTATTTTTTTTATCAAAATTAGGATCTTTTAGCGATATGCGTGTAGAATTTTGACATAGAAAGCTTAGTTGTATCAGAATTTATTACTCAATCTGCAGAAAAAGTCTTAATAAAATAAAAATTTTGTGTATTTAAAATACACAAAAATGCCACAAATAGGAAAACGAAGTTGTATATGTCTAAAGTGAGAAAAATATGTTTAATTAGTGCAGCAAAAATGGAAAAATATCAAAAATGCCACAAATAATTTCATTCAAAATAAACATAACAAGTTATTTATACAAATAAATCAAAATCATTAGATTGAACCGCCTAAGTATTAAGATTACAATTAAAATAAATAACTTTACACAAAAACATGGCAATTTTAAATTAGTTCGTTTGGGTAGTTTTTGAAAAAAGTGGACTTAATTTGTAAAATTTCTGAGGAAAAATATATTTTCCAAAAATAGTTTTAAAAAAAATTTACAATATTGTCAATACATTCATTTGAGTTACAGTTTATACAGTCGCCCCTTAATATACCAACCATTGTTTGACGAAAACAGGCAACCAAGAGATGGAGCTATTTTTGCTCATTTAATAGGGTAAACAAATTATAATTTTGAATATAGAAACTCGATTTGTATTTCAAACTCCGTTATTCTATTTTATACATTTTGTATTATGTCGCTCGGCATCAAGATTCTGTAGCTCAGATGTTTTAACATGTTATACATACTTTGGTATAGGAAAGCCAAAGTGACGATATTTATTTGAAATTGCATATAAAATCATGCCAGGTTAAAAGCGTGGATGCTGGCTGCAGATGTACTTCCACTCTATATACGAACTTCCGTCTTGAAATTCCCTTCACAGAATATGAAATTATTTTTAGGAAAGTTAGAGGAATTATCACTTTTGTGGATTTGGCTTTAAAACAGGACATTATCTCTTCCACAAATATGTTAGTGCCACTTTGACGTTTTTATTATATTTGCTTGCCATTCATTAAAATATTCCTATATTCCTATATTTTCGTAAATTTTTTCTCATGAGGAAAGTAAAATAATACAAGTTCTGATAAGTATTACATTGTTACAGTGCCGCACTGAACAAAATCTTTTTAACTTGCTACATCGCTGAAAATATTAAAAATAAATTGTTATTTACACTTCTTTCAAGGCAATTAAAAAATACTGCCAAAAAACAACATTCAAATATAAACATAACAGAAAAGTTCCTTATTAAAGTGATTTGAAATTAATATAAAAGATGTCGTACGGGTGTTCTTAAGAATAAAACTATCTAGATGTATTTATACTGATTTATGCTCGGATTTATGTGTACCTATTTAAGTTTCATGTATTTAATTATATTTAATCATGTTTTTGTTAATTTTTAATTACTTATATAAATAGACTTTTAAATACTTTTCTCAAATTTGTATAGGTACCTATTTAAAAGGTGTTCCACCCCTCAGGCCAAACTATACAGTATACTGCTACATTGTTGGCAAAAATGTTTCTTTCTGTTTTAGTATTGACAATTTTGAAGGCAACTTCGTTATTACAATAATTACAAGTGGGTATAGTTAGGTCTTCTTTTCCTAGCCAATTTTGCTCAACAATTTTATAAAACAACAGAAACCTTTATCTATGTAATTCAGTAAGTAATACTTCCTTAAACATATACTTATTTTTATCCTCAAATTATCTGACATGATGATAACACAACTGAACGTAGAAACCTATATAAACCAAGTTATGAATAATACATTTTGTTCCTCAATTTTTTCATTTAAAAGAAACATGGAATTATACGTTTTAATCAGAAAAGAAAATATTTTGAAAGTGTTACAGTATTTATACTAGGATCTTTACCAACAATTATATTAATTTCTTTCGAGTCATTGATTCACTTTGGACTAATAATATTGTTGAATATATTATACTGAAATATATAGTCTTACAAAAATAAAACAGAACTTACGGCTCTGCTTCGATACTCTTCAACTTGGCAACGTAGTTACTTGGTATATAACCTTCCTGTCTGGTCCGTTTACTCCTTGCAAGCCACCAGTCTCCCTGAGTATCATTTAAAATTTCCAAATGTTCACCCTTTCGGAAACTTAAATCTTCATCAGTTCTAGCATCGTAATCATACAAAGCAACAAATATTCTGGCACTAGGTTGTTCGGGTTCTGGGTTCCCCACAGTAATAGGGAGCCTAGGTACTTCAGGGGGTGTTGGGATAGGATTTGTCTGTAAAGTAGTGTCTTCTATAGGGCTAACACCTAGCCTTTCTCTATTTCTATCAATTCTATCAGTCGTTGAGGGGCTACTAAAACAATTGCCCATTTTTCAATTGTTTTTTAGCACTTCACTAGTCACCATGAACAAACATCACATAACACCTGAAAGTTTAATTTTCTACAGTTTGAATTTTAAAAAGAAATATTTCTAACAAAGTAAATAATACACATTTCCATCCGTCAACCTCGATTCACCGCACTGAATTTATCAGAGAAAGGCAAATTTTGTTTAGAAACTTTCCCTTGGAGTTTTTAATATTTTCCTGTTGGCAGCACCGCTTCCTGCCTGGTGACTATGACTTTTTAATTTGTCTTGTCATCTGTAAAGCGAATAAATGCAATTTATTGTTTTCTGTTAATTTTAATAATTCAAAAGAAACTCATCGTACCGCATATTTTTTAATAATACTGTGATTAGTTTATATAATTTTAAATAAGTACCATCATGCCGCAGTACAAGGGTAAGTTAACTTTTTCATTTTACGTTTTCTAACCTCTAAGTGATAACCAAAAATTTTTAATTTTTTTCTGCTTTTGTTTTAAATAACTAAATTGCAAACGTTATTAAATTTTTTTATCGGTTAGTTAAAGTTAAATGGGGAAAGGAATCATATCCAGACATTGAAGTAAATACAGATGAGCCTCCTTTGTTGTTTAAAGCACAGTTATTTGCTTTAACTGGAGTACAACCAGAAAGGCAGAAGGTTATGATCAAAGGAGTTACACTGAAGGATAACGACTGGGATAATTTTAAAATAAAGGATGTGCGTATTGATAAAATTGTATATTTTTCTTTATATGAATGTCTTTATTTAGGGGGTTACAATCCTTTTAATGGGCAGCAAAGAAGAGGATGTCCCAAAGGAACCAGTAGAAAAAACAGTCTTTGTAGAAGATATGAATGAGAGTGAATTAGCTACTGCGGTAAATATCTGTAAAATTAATTATTGTGTATGTATAATAAAACTTAATTTTAGTTGGATTTACCAGCCGGTTTAACAAACTTGGGGAACACTTGTTATATGAATGCTACGGTTCAGTGTTTAAAAGTCGTACCGGAACTAAGGGAAGCCTTACAGACTTTTCAAGGAGGTAATTATAAAAAAACTTTTTAAATCGTGATATTTATGAAAAAATATTTTTTTTTTAGGTGTTGCTCCAGCTAACAATGTAACTGCATCACAGTCGATTACTGCTGCCCTTAGGGACTTATATGCCAGTATGGACAAAGGGAATACAGTTCCTCCAATAGTCCTACTACAAGTGTTACACATGGCATTTCCTAGATTTGCTGAAAAAAATGAGCATGGAGGATTTTCACAGCAGGTAATAATTTCTTCGTATATAATAATTATGAAATTTGTACTGAAATTATTTCTCTAGTTTTAAATTTTAAATTATTCATACAGAATTTTATCATTGGTCTTATTCTTTAGGATGCCAATGAATGCTGGACAGAAATGGTGAGAATGCTGCAACAAAAACTTCCTGCGAAACTAAATGGTGATAGTCCCCAAGAACATTTCAAGTAAGAATACTCACCTTTACATTTTCATAAGATTTTCCTAGTATACAAAATAATATACATGGCTTTTCATATAACATTTGCATGTGGACTAAGGGGAATGTAACTAAATATGGGGTGTTTTGAAAAATGTTCCATAAAATCAGACGTGGGTAGATTAGTAGAAAAATAAAACAGAAATATATATATACAGGGTGTCCGGAAATTACGTGTACAAGGGAAGATCACAGACTTCTTGACTCAAAATCTGTAGATTTAAATTTACCTATTTCCAAAATTGCTCCGTTTAGCCGATAGGGGACGCCAAAATCCGATAAAAAATTTTTGTTTATTCTGAATGTCTTGAAAACAATTTTGACCATTTTTGGGTTACAGAGTTAGGTCTTTAATTGAATTTAGAATCATTTCCAATTCCTACAAATATTTAAAAAAGCAGATACCATACAAATATAACCACATATTTGTTTCATTCCCCTGTACAACTCCCAATTTTTTTTGTCACTAGCTGATTTTGTTTAGAATTTTTTTTTTGCACTAGCAAAATTTTGATCAGATGAGTAGTTTAGGCAGAAAAAATTAAAGTCTGCTGTATAATATTATTTTATTATTATCGTTACATTATTTTATGCTTTTGTGGTATTTCTATGATGAAACCTATCCTCAATTTTGTTTTGGCAGTTTGTTTATTCTTGTGGTTTTATTTGTTCTCTTTTATCTTTACTGAGAAGTAATGAGGTTATTGTTAAACACACATTAAATGATTTTGTTTTTGCACTTAAACAATTCAAATGTATTGAATTGAAATTTGATATACGTCATTTTCTTAAAATGCATCATCAGTGTTAGTTTTCCCATTGTTTAGTTTACATAAAAAATATTATAACGTCTTCTGTGATTTCGTGACCGTGGTTTGAAGACAATTGGCTAGTTTGAAGTCTACAAATCATGTGCTGTAAATTGATTGCGATTCGAAATCATATTGTATAAGAAGATACTAATGCTCTTGTTATCCAAAACCAACTGCGTTTCATTCCTAAAAAATTGTTTTTTTTATACTACATTTTGTTAAAATAGAAAAAAACCTTTTTTAGAATTCTCATAAATATTTTTATTCAAGAATTCATCAATTTGCAGTTTGGCAAAAACAAATTATGTAAAAAATTGAAGAAACTAGTTGCCTGTCCATTTTTATCGGAAAATTATGCAGATAAGAGAACTACTTTATTAGATATACATATAACATAATGTTAATAATAATAATTTTCAAAGTTCTGGGGATTTTAGAACGTATATTTATGATTTTTTTAAATTTTCATTAGAATAATCAGAGGTTTCAGCTCCTTAAAAAATTTATCAATATTATTTAGAAAACACTTGTATTTACAGACAGAGATTGGTCGACTTTGTCTCGGTTAATCGTACTTTACTCAAAAATAGTGTTTTTCCACCACTTTCAACATGAATACCTCTTTTGTGTAAAAATTAAATTTTACAATATGATATGCTATGTGACATCGTTGAGTGAATAAGTTCACGCAGTTTTGACATACAACACAGAAAGTGACAATTTGTGAATTCAAGATGTCTCTTTTTCCGCTTTAAAAAGAATTAAGCCTAAAATGACTACTGGTCTTGATGGTGTTCCCGCATTTCTGATAAGAGACTGTGCTCAGATTTTTTCTCATCTCTTAAGAAAATTATTCAACTCGTGCCTAACGAGTGTCGGTTACCTGATTTGTGGAAGCGTTCAAAAGTGTGTCCAATTTTTAAATTTCGTCCTATATCTATTATATGTAATTTTTGTAAAATTTTTGAAATATTACTTCATGACTATATTTATTATAACATCTCTAATGTGATAACACCTTGTCAGCATGGTTTTATGAAAGGACATTCTACTGTCACTAACTTGATCAGTGTTACACAATTTATAGCCGATTCTATAGACAACAATTTACAAACTGATGTCATATATATAGGGACTTCGGATTTTACTCCAGAAGCTTGATATGTTTGGTTTATCAGTGGCCTTAATGAATTTCTTCGAATCTTATTTAGACAACAGAAAACAGTATATAGTTTATAATGGGTATAAATCGATTGAGTATACCGCTACAGCAGGAGTTCCTCAAGGTTCCATTTTTGGACCTTTACTATTCATTATATTCATTAACGATTTAGTTAACAACTTAGATGTAAATTTTCTTCTTTATGCCGATGATGTGAAAATATACAGCTCAGTTCGCAACATTAATAACTGTATTCAGCTTCAACGAAACCTTCTTACTATAATATCTTGATGTAATAATAACAGGTTAATGTTAAATACAGAAAAATGTAATGTCATGTCTTTCTCCAACAAGTTCAATCACATTATGTTTAATTACAGCATTGATAATAATGTTTTGTCAAGACCGAAAACATTTTGAGACCTAGGCGTTGTATCTCATGAAAAACTATCATATAATAATCATATTGATATTGTTGTCTCCGAAGCTAATATGGATTTATAGTTTGCAACTGTCGTGATTTTTCAAGCTTAGATGTCATAAAGCTTCTTTACTTTAATTATGTTAGATCGAAACGAATATGTGTCTCCCGTACGGTCTCCGCACAGTGGTGTCCACATTAATAAACTGGAATCGATTCAGCGTCGATTTTTTAGATTTTTAGATTTTAAATCTGATGGCTACTATCCTCATATCGGATATCCGTATGAGGACCTTTTAAGTAGACATTCCTTTATTAACCTTGAAACTAGACGGAAATACTTTTCGCAGGTCTTTCTTTATAAAATTTTACGTAATTTGGCCGACTGCCAGGAATTTATAAACAAATTATCATTTTCTATGCCTAGACTTAGCTCTAGAGAAAACGGAACGTTTTATTTACCAACTCCTCGTACTAATGTACTCAAACATTCACCACTTTATCTGCAACAACTGTAATAAAAATTCTGTAGATATTTTTAACTGCAGCCTTAACGACTTAAAAATAATTTATTTTTAATGTTTCAAATATGTAATTTTAATCTTCATTTATGTGTATTATTTAGTGTATAGATTTTATTTATTTCCTTAATTTTTTTATGGTCTGTATTTTTTTTTTGGTCCTTTTAATTTTGTGTGTAATTAGTGTATTTCTTTTATTATTGTCTGTTCTATAATTGGGTAGTACCTGTTGACCGGTGTATTAAATAAAATAAAATGTGTATACATATTTCAGATCTCTAATAGACCAATACTTTGGTGGTACTTTTGATGTTGAATTAAAATGTGTGGAAGCAGAAGATGAGCCTGTATCCAAAAATAAAGAGCAATTTCTACAATTAAGTTGTTTTATTTCTCAAGATGTTCGATATATGCATTCAGGGCTTAAGAATGTGAGTATTAAATTTGTGTACCGTCCCGCAATTACTTATTTGGTGGCGTGTTAAACGTTTTCATTTAGTTGGCAGAAATACCCGATTAAATAAAAACTAAGAAATTCGTAATTAGCGGTATTGGCGTGCGTATTTATTTAATTATATATTTTTTACAGAAAATGCAAGAACAGCTTACGAAAAAATCATCTACTCTAGATAGAGATGCTGTTTATATAAAAACTGTAAGTGGCGGTACAAAATTTTAATTCCATTGTCGATAAATTACTTTGTGATTTTAGAGTAAAATTAGCCGTCTACCGGCCTATTTGACGGTTCAGTTTGTTCGGTTCTATTATAAAGAGAAGGAATCGATAAATGCCAAAATTCTCAAGGACGTAAAGTTTCCTCTAGATTTCGACGCTTTCGATTTGTGTACCCCAGAGCTGCAGGAAAAGTTGGCACCAATGAGATCTAAATTTAAGGTTAGTCCTATACACTTTTTGCATACATTTATTAATTTCACATTTGTTTGTAGGAATGGGAAGACGAACAAGTAGAACTCGCGGCGAAAGATAAAAGTAAAAGTAAGGGAGACGTGAAATCAAAAGAGGACAAGAAATTTGCCCCGTACTGGTTTGAAAATGGTAAATATACATTAAAAATTGAACTTTTTATCTTATTTTTTTATTATTTTTATTTGAACCTCTCTCCTCGAATCGTGCTTCCAGACCTAGGAAGTAATAATAGTGGATATTATACCTTGCAAGCGGTATTGACTCACAGGGGTAGATCCTCTTCCAGCGGTCACTATGTAGGATGGGTTAGGCATTCGGGTGATAATTGGATTAAATGCGACGACGACAACGTATCTCCTGTAACCACTGATGATATTTTAAAACTCTCTGGCGGAGGTAAGTTATCGTTTTGCTTAAAACGGAGGTAATACAGGGTATTACAATATGACGTCTACAAAATTTTACAATTGTCTGGCAAAACTAAAAAAAAAGTACATATGGCCGTAGATTTGCAAATGATTAGTTTTTGAAGTACAGGGGGATAAAATTTTATTATAATTTTTTTCTTTTTTGGTACTCATTTCGTTCACAAATTTGTATAATCAAAACTTTTTTTTATTTATTTTTCCAACGTTTCATTCTCGCGATTTTGTTAATATCTGATCATTTTATTGTGCTCCGTTGATTAGCCATAAATAAAATTGTAATAAGAAAGTTATCTCAGTAACGAAATGTTTCAGGACCTAAGTTCATATGAACGTTTTTCTTGTTTTTGGCCGTGGCATTTTTTGTGGAGATAGACAATGTATAAATGTGTCAAGCTAGTTTTTAAGAAAAATTGATTGGCGGAAACTGTGACTTGATGTCTGGATTAATTTAGGATATACAGGGTGGTCCAGTTTCCGATGCGGAAACTTCAGGGACCTATAGAGATTCATAAAATAATATGAGTTTGATATATAAACTATATTCGGAAAATGCTTCGTTAACAGGGTGAGACAGGGTGTTAAAGATTGATTTAAAAAAATCAAATTTATTAATTGTTGTCAAACGGCTAAAGGTATTTTAATGAAATTTTGTAGACGTTAACTACCATAGAGAGGGCACGTTTTGCAAAGAAAAACATTATTTTTAGTTTTGCCAGTGGCGTCCGTACTAGCACGTTACTGGATATTTTTAAAGAAAAAATTGGTACGACACTGCTTTTATATAAAATAAAAATCAGTTTTGGGTTCTTCATTCAATCTTTTAACACGTACAATGTAAATTTAATTTAATTTTTTATGTTAATGAAACTGTAACAGGAAAAACAACAGATTTAATTAGTGGTGTTCAAAAACAACAACAACAAAATAAAATAAAAATGTATGTTAAAAGAAATTGCTCGAAATGTAGTCTACCCACCTCAATACATTTTCGACATCTTGTAACTAATGAATTTATTACAGCAGCTATTTCATTTGGATTTCTCCGCATATCATTGTAGGCTTGCTGAATCCTTAAAACTAAATCATCTCTTGTTAACACTGGAGTAGCGTAAACTTTGTCTTTTACATTTCCCCAAATGTAAAAGTCCAGTGGATTAAGATCACGTGCCCTGGGTGGCCAGGCCACTGGTCCAATACCATTAACCACGTCATGATTCATGTCATTCCTCCCTAGGAGTCATTTTGAAATGATCGTGGCCGAATTTCTCGAGGATTTTCGTGAGCCCAAACATGGATATTGTGGTAATTCGTTATTCCACGTTTATTCATTGAGGATTCATCCGCCTACAGAATTTTGTGCAAGTCAGGATTTTCTTCCGTCGACTGGCAAAATCTCATTCGGTTTTCAGCATCCCCAGGGTGTAAATCCTGAACGGGCTGTAGGTGATATGCATGCCTGTGGTCATCTCGTAATGTTCATAATATTCGAGACTTAGATATTTGTATGAGCCTCGGATTGTCATCAAAAGTACAAAGAATACTATTCTGATTGTTATTGCGACAGTTTCTGTTATGTTCGAGCATCTGGAATTCTTCTATTGGGATAAAATCTTCGATATTCACGAACTGCCGCTACCGCATTTCCATCACAAAATCCGTAACAAAAATGAATATCTGCATATTCTTCGTTACTAAAAAGCATTTTTCAGGATAACACTCATAATAACTACAACAATAACAATAATTACAAATCATATTACTAGAGAGCTAACTAGCTAGAGCACAGTTACTAATTAATTTGACAGATAAATTTGTTATTTTGTTGTACTTACTCCATTGTTTTTTTCAAAGATCACTTTGAAAACGCTGAGTCGTACAGAAAAATCGAGAGAGCTTTTTTCTTCCAAATTGAATGGAGAATCCAAAACTGATTTTTATTTTATGTGAAAGCAGTGGCGTACCAATTTTTTCTTTAGAAATATCTAGTAACGTGCTAGTACGGATGCCACTGGCAAAACTAAAAATAATTGCATTGCAAAACATGCTCTCTCTGTGGTAGTTAACGTCTACAAAATTTCATTGAAATACCTTTAGCCGTTTGACAAAAATTAATAAATTTCATTTTTTTAAATCAATCTTTAACACCCTGTATTTCCTTAACGAAGCTTTTTGCGAATATACATAGTTTATATATCAAACTCATATTATTTTTTGAATCTCTATCGGTTTGAAGTTTCCACATCGGAAACTGGACGACCGTGTATATTTTTCAATTTTAGTCATTTTGCATTATCGAATAACTTTTTATTTGTGAAATTTAGTGACCTACACGTTATTTTACTGTATCTTGCCTTAAATTGTAACAATTATTTGCACAAAAAAAAAAAAATTTAAGGTGTAAATACAGGTACAGAGTTTTCATAAATGGTTATAAGCCACGTGAACAGTAATTTTATTTCCTTCACGCTGACAAGTAAACTTCGGTAAAATTAAAACAAAATCAAGACTACATTAAAACACAAGATTTGGTTTTACCGGCAGTTGATTGGAGTAATTTTTCATGACATTTCATTCAACCAATCAGCTGTCACATTATCTCGAGCGTAGATGTAAAGGTTTGTCATTGTTCATTGTAAACGAATTATTAATATTGGCGATGCTAAGATTTATAGATTTTTAGTTGGCAGTACCAGCCGTGCAATGTTGGCTGCCTAAACTCGGCAGACACGTGGCTTGAAATCATTTATAAAGCTGTATATACAGTGTGTTCTACTAATGCCACACCGGTAATTTTTTTAATTTATGGACTAATTTTAACAATTTATTTTTTTTGTTAGATCTCTTGAAAGCGTCTCAAAAATATGTCCCAATTATTTTATAAACAGCCTTTACAAATAAAAACGTTAGTTATTGAGGATTATAAAAATAAAAAAATTGGGAACTCACTGTAGATATCAAGATATGGTTTTTCAAACAATCTTAACTGCTTTTTGTTTATCCCCGTGGGGAATATGAAGCAACCCCCTAATAGTGTCGAATTTGTCCCACACTGTATAGTTTTATGCAATGCCCTATAAAAATTTAAAGGGTTCCTCCAACTTTTTGATGAAAAATTCGGTTTAAGTTTTTTTCCAAACACACATTCATCAAATTTACATGAAATTAATTTGTCGTTTTAGGAGATTGGCATTGTGCCTATGTCCTACTTTATGGGCCTAGACTTTTAGAGATCAAGCCTTCTGAAGAGGAAATGGCAACGGAATAATTAAGTTTAAATACATGAGACTTTAATAACGCTTTAACTGAATTCAGAGAACTCTGTGCCGTGTAAGTCAGAGCTCTGCTACATACATTTCGTAAAATAAATAAACCAACTTTATTTAGTTCTGTTTATTATTTTCCGTATATAAAATCACACTATATATAACACAAATTTGTCTACACTAAAAATAAATCATGTACTTAAATGCCCTGATTGTCTGCCAAACCAAATTCGTTTACCTACCAACTTCGGGAAAAAGTACAAAGCAATGAATGAATTTGGCTAATCGATTTGTGTTTTGGCAGTTGTCTTATTTAAAAAATCTATTCCGCTGTGTTCCATACTTCTATTTAAAAATATCGAAGAAAGGTTAAGTATAGAACACATGTATACATACTATGTTACAAAATCTTTGAGAATGGATATATAAAAGGCGTAAGAGTTCAGGGTTTAAAGAGTGAATTTTACTAATTATTTCAGTCACTTTTCTATACAACGATTAAAGTAAGTCTACATTACTTCTTTATTATGCAAAAATACATATTCCTCAAAATTTCTGACATCCTATGTTCTAAAGGCACATTCTATAATAAACAAGTCATTCTGTACTAGGGGAGCGGTAGACAAACACACAAGTTACTTAATTTGTATACTAAATATTCTATTTTTGCCGTACAGGGTCTTAATCAATTGGTAAACTTCACATCACTTCAGGTGATTAGAACAAAATGTTTTAAGCAAAAAGTTTCGTATGAACGTTGATCGTCCGTTTTTGAAATATTAGAGAAAAAATTACGTTTTCTGAAAGATCTCCGAGGATTTTTGCCATATACTGATGTACCTTAGACTACTGCTTTATCTAACGAGAAGAAAAAAATTGCTAAGTTGATTTACAAATAAGTTCCACAATGGTCGAGATATAAGAAGTTTTGTTTAAAAAATGAATCATTTTAAAATTCAGATTTTTTTTTTGAGTAATATTTATTTCTTTATTTTTTGGGTATTTTGCCACCTGTGGAAAAAATTTTAAAATTAGTGAAATAAACTCTTGCTCTAAAAGGATGAGCAAGGGTTATTTTTATGAAAAAATAATTTTGGCTAACAAAAAAATCTCACACTGAAAAAGCAGATAAACATACAGTATAGTACAAAAAACACATCACTTTGTTACACACACTTCAAAAGTTGTTGACGTTTCAAACTAAAGCAAAAAGTCAAACAAAATTCAGAAGACGAAAACAGATTTGCACAATTGTCAGTGGTGTGTTTTATAAGTCTACGTCAAACATCCTCAGAGATCTATGAGAAAATGTGTTTTTTTTTTAAATTTTAACATCCACACAAAACAAACTACAACTCAAGTTTATATCAAACTTTTCGCTTAAAATAATTTGTTTCGTCACCTTTCCAATTAAAAGTTGGACCACCCTGTATATGTAACTATTGCAAGTAAAAATTTGAAGTTCTCGCATTACTGTAATAAGTGACCAAAGTATCGATATGTTTCGTATTTTCTAAAAGTAATTTCTCGACACAATTTGTTTAACTAAACAAAATTTAACTCACTGAAAAAAATACAAAATAATTTTACCACAAATAGGGATGTGAAAATCTCAAATTTATATTTGCAGTAGTTAAGGGACCTACCAAAACACCAATAAATGCTACTTCTATTGTTTAAAGTAGCAAATGATGAATTTGTAATAAATTTACAATACGAAAACAAAAATATTCATTTTTAAAAAGTATGGAAAATGTAATCAATAGACCGGAAATAAAATTGTTTGTTATAAATTTTAGGCATTGCTTGGAGACAAGTGTATGTGTACAGGGTGTTTAGATAAGAAAGAAATTACTGATGGTCTACCAAAAATTATAAAAATATTTAAATTTTCTGTTGTCAAAATTATGGAAATTTGCTTTTTTAAATGGATATTTCTAAATATTAAGTACAACATTTTCCTATGACTCCAGTGACATAATGTTTGATTGTATCTCTAATAATAAGGGAGATATAAATAAGGCCAAAAAAACTGAGTCATAAGCAAATTATTTGCTAATAAGTATATTTGTTAGACCCGAAAATAGTTAGTTGCCTGACAAATAGTAAAAACTATTATGTTAGTAAGAAAGAGATCTCTTACTATTAGAGATACACCCATTAAACCTTATATCACAGTTTATCAATGGCGGCTCATGACATTGAGAATAGGTGAAGTATATTCATTGATTGACTAAAAAGAAAAAAAAAAGCGCTGCTGGCGCTGGTTTTAAATGGCTGGTCAAACGGCTTTAAATGAATCTGGAAATTTTTAGTTGCATTCGCAATATTACCGAAAAACTGACGTTCGTGAGAAAGATTTTCATTTAGATTTTATAAAAAATAGAAATATTAGTTCGGCTTGTGGATTTCTGCGAACATTAACGCGCACCGTACCTACATGTATGTTCCAAAGAAATTTTATGGTTACTGGATCATACATAGGAAACATTTCTACAATTATTATATAAAACAAATATTAACCAAGAACCATTACAATCGTGCTCTGGGCAATGCGTATCGTATAAACTGTTAATTAAAGGCAGGCGATGGGCGATGCTGCTTCAATTTCTGCATCACTCGTTCCTCCACGCCGTAGTTTAAGCCCGAGTTATATCTAAATTATAAAATTTATTTAAAATGCGGGTAAAAAGCAGTGCATCACTTGTGTCACCTGATGAGCCGCCACTGCAGTATATGTAAACTAGCTAAATCAGATGAGCCAAAATCGTAAGAAACATGTAACAGACTGCGCAGCATTTTCAGTCTGAAGAGATCTTGCACAATTTGTCAGGTGTGTCATATACAGACATATGATAAACTTCAAATGAATGAAAACAATTATCTAAAATGTTAAATAGATTCATAATCTAATCTTGTTAACGTCAGTAATTGCAGGCACATCATACAAACAACATATTGCCTAAAGAAAAAGATTGTGAAATATTATTTATAAAACTAATCAATTCTTCAAATTAATAATTTTATCTTTAAATTAAATATTTATCACAATCAATACCTGTTTATTGCACAAGTTGAAAATTTTTATTAGGCCCTGATAGCCGCTTATCGATCCAATGATACCGAAACCAGCTACATCGAAATCAAAGCAGTGATAATGGAGTGAAATTGCTGGTTTACATATGCAGTGCTGATATTATTACAATCGTAGGAAAATGTTCTATTCAAATGTAAAAAAAAAAATTGGAATATTCCATTTAAAAACCCATGTTAGTTCTATAAACCGATGTTCATTTATCTTCATCTTAATTTAGACTTTACAAACATACAAAAAGCTTACTTCAGTTTCTACCCTCACAATTTTTCCCTATGTTACGAAATAATGGAAAAAGTTTTAGGTGACACTTACGGTGTACTGTGTACTGTCCTGTACAGATGAAATCGATGTCATATTAACAAACTTGAAGCTTCTTAGTTACATTAATGCTGCCAAGAATCAATCTTAACTAAACATCCTATACACTTTGTCCAAATGAAGTACAATATACGGTATTAAAATGTAAGGTGTTAACGTTATACAGCCGATTCACTTAAGGATGCCCATCACGGAAACCTTAAAAAGTTGGTTCAACTTCTCAAGTTGCGCAATGATTAGCATTTCTGAGAGAGCGCCTTTAATTTTCTTGTAACTCTCATATATTCTATAATAAGTTACAAGAAAACTAAAGATGGCCTTTAAAAGCGCTTATCATCGAGCAACTTTATTTTTATTCCGGCATTCGTGATGGGCATCCTCCAGCAAATCGGGCTGTATAAAATCAGAATTTTTGTAAATAATCAAGTTCTCAAAGACGTTGCTTACAACATAAAAGTACAGTGAAATATTCAACTTTACATACTATACAAAACACGTAGTAATAGGGCTTAGATACTAATTACTTAAATTATTTGATTTATGAACACTTTTTACCTGTCATTTTAAATATTTTTAACTAAACTATCGATATGGATCCCAATAACAGTCTACTGTGTAACTAAACGAATATATACTATAACAATAATTACCTGAAGTAGCTTTCTTATCAATATTTATTGTGAACTTTATTTTTTTAATAAAAATATAGTGGGCGTCGAAAAAGCAATATAATTTTGCGAAAGTAATTAGTACTATATTATTACGTAATTTATAAAACACATCTTTTATTCAAATGAATGAAAATAAATTTTAAATGTTTATTATATTTTTTCTTATTTAGTTATCTATTATTGAGCCAATTTTGATGCTTTTTATTATGCAAGTTATTAAAGCTTGGAAAATCGGTTCTGTATTTCCTTCTCATCTTGGATCCGCAAATTATATAAGTATAAAAAGCATCAAAACTAAAAATAATTCTATAATACTGTGTTTTCCTCCTAACAATTATTTGCAATTTTATAGATTTACAAATAATCTGAATTACTTCAAATTTCAAACTTATGCAATGGCGACTTTATTATTTCAAAATAATTTTTATGAATTTTAAAAACTCACTCTTTAAGTTCAAAACTAAAAAGACTGTTAAATGTAACTGGTTCCTCATTACAACTAAATTGTAATTATTGAATGGTTGTGGATATAACCTACTGTCATTTAATTTAAATATGTAAAAATGCTAGATAATTGTTGCAAAATTCTATCACACACTTTTTGTAAAAAAAGTTTAAAAATATTGTATTGCAATTAAATTATTTGCACTAATTAAACATAAAAAATACCAAATACCTTATAAAAAATTTCCAGTCCAGACTAAATGAGTTCGTCTTCTCTCTTTAAATTGTGGTACATTGTTAACGTTTTCTGATTTTGGAAGTTGCAGCTCATACCATTTTTTTTTATCGTACTGTAGTGATTGTTTTTTTTTGCCCTTAATTCTTATACCTTTTGGATTTTATTTATGAATCAAAGAAATATGTGTTTATTAGGTTCAATCAGAAAGCTTTATATCAAAATAACCCTTAAATAGACCAAGAATAAATGTGAAAAATCATTGAGAAATCGTGAAAATTACTGGGTGTGATTTTATTGTTGGAAAGTCTTGGGAATAATAATACAAGAGGCGTCTCATTTCGTGGCTCATGAAAAAAGTATAGCCTCACTGTTTTTTTTTCACCAATTGGTTCAAAATTTGTTATTTTTTGTTTTTCGGGTTTTTTTTAAAAAACTATTAATCTTAGCAAAAATGTTCAACGATTTGATCTAGAGAAACTCATTTTTAAAATGAGACTGTATAAGTTAAAATTGCTTTATAAACAAAAAATTTATTGCAAAATTTAACGGAAAAAGTGCTTTTTCTTTAATTGTTAATAACTTTTTTAAATAATTAATAAAATCTTACCAAACTTTCCCAAAATGTGAGTTTTTATATCCTTAAGAGATGTGCAAAAGATGGGCTCGATCGGTCAAATAGTTTTTGCAAAATTCCATTTATTTATCCCATTTTTGCAAAAAAGGCCCATTTTCAAATGACTATTCCGGAGGCAGGGTTATGGCTAAAACATTCTTTTTGGGCTCATTTTCTTCGAAGGGACACCAAGTATCCTCTGGTTAAAAAAAAATAAAATTTTTTCAATTTGTAGGTTTTTTTACGAACTTTCCAATGGTGTATATAACTTCTTTCAAAAGTTAAAACCCGCGGAGTTATTTTATTTGTTTATTAGGGAAAAAAGTGCCTTTTATTTGTTAATAATTATATACAATTAAATTTAAAAAAAAATTTATTTGTTTTAACTAGATGATACTTAGTGTCAGTTCGAAGAAAATGAGCCCAAAAAGAATGTTTTAGTCGTAACCCTGCCCCCGGAATAGTCATTTGAAAATTGGCCTTTTTACAGCAAAAATGGGATAAATAAATGGAATTTTGCAAAAACTATTTGACCGATCGAGCCCATCTTTTAAGGATATAAAAACTCACATTTTGGGAAAGTTTGGTAAGATTTTATTTATTTAAATAGTTATTAAATTTTTTGTTTATAAAGCAATTTTGACTTATAAAGTCTCATTTTAAAGATGAGTTTCTCTAGATCAAATTGTCTGTTGAACATTTTTTGCTAAGATTAATAGTTTTTTTACAATAACACGTAGAACGAAAAATTGAAAATTTTTGACCTGTTTGTTGATAAAAAAACAATGATACTATACTTTTTTCATGACCCACGAGATGAGATTTGTATTATCATTCTCAAGACTTTCCGAAAATAAAATCACACCCACTAATTAATAAATTTCAAAATGTTTCCTTTCTTGGTATAAAATCTTACTTGATCAACTCGTACTGCAATGAGTTGGACGACTATGATTTTTTTTTATCTTGTACAAGGTGGTCACACGAAAATTTTAAAAAATCCCTAGAACTTTTTTTTTTACTATTTTTGGTATCTGTGGTACACCATGAGTTGTCAATTTGTATATCTTAGAAATACATATTTTCTACTCTGTACATTTTAATTTGTCCCTTTACTTTCTTTTTATTTTTGAGTTCTATATTGTATTGACCTACTCTCTATCTTTATTTTCGAATGAACCTCATACTAGTTGCATGTTCTTTAAAACTTTGGTAGTAAAATCCACTGGAGATAATCAAGATAATCCTAAATTTTAACCATTTACCATTGTTAAGAATTCCACAGTACCAACAAGAAAACTAACGACACTTTATTTCCGATAAGCAAAACTAGGAAGTGAATGATATATTCCATATTCATTCTATTTAAAAATGTATTAAAAGACATATTTTTATTAAGGTATTTGTAAATATTTACTTACAAATTCTAGACCATATAGAAGTCTCTGTTGTGATATAAACAGACTAATATCTCACTGAAGAATTATTAAGAAAGTCCTTAACTATCATGCTAGCCTGTAGGGGTCAGAACTTTTGGACGAACAGGGCTGAACGTCGTCGAGGTAATTTACTGGTTCCTGCCTAGATGTGGACGCAACTACTGGTGGGTAATTCACAATAGGCTTGTAATTGTGCGTTGTTTGGTTCACTTTGTGTTGTGTCGAACCTGGAGGAGAGGTTTGCCTCTCCTGCAAATTGAAACTTAGGTCCTCATCAACAGGCTCATAATAACCAATTTGGCATTTCTGGATTAGAGATATTATTGCTGATTGCAGGCAGCAAACATATCCTAGAGTCTGAAAAGGACAGTTTTATGTATATTCATCATAAATGTGAGAAGCGGGTATGGTAAAAATGTATAAACATTTATTGCTTGTACAGGATGTTGCAATATTCCACTGAAATAATTATAATGAAATAGTAGGTAACTCTCTGCCAGCAGATATAAAGTAGTGCTTTGTGCCAATAGGTATTAAGTACCAATCACAATATAAAATACACATACTGATGGTAAGTTATCTTACCCTTAGAAAATTCAAAAGTTCTAAGGCAATGATTAATAATATTTACAATGGTATGTATATTAAAAAACTAAATTTTTTTCTCTGAGAATGTAAATTTATTGAACTGCATGAAAGATTTAATGACTAATTTTTCGATTTTGTCATAATTTTCACGGCAAACAAATTCAGTATTGAGCAATACATTTTTTCTGTTATTTTACACATTCAAATTAAGAATTAAATTTTTATGTAATATACAGGCTGTTTCAGAAAGACCTCCCATAAATACAGGGGATGATAGTACGACAAAAAATAAGAATTTTTTGTCTTATGAACTATATGTTTATCTCCTCTTGTTTTTGAGATACAGAGCGCCAAATTAAAATTTTTTAAATAGAATTTTTACGAAAATTCCCAAACGGTGCAAAATATTTTTATGAAATTAGGTATTCCGGGATTTCTAAGGATGCCAAATACACTGGTCTAATTATTTTTGGGATATTTCATAGAAGGCGCCAGTAATGCTACATGCCCATTACCTTTTAAGTTCAAATTTTTTTAAGGTTAGGTTTTTACCATTTGAGCTCCAATTTCTAATGTACAATTTTATTTTCTAAAAATAAAGTACTCTCGTTAGAACTTCCTAATGTGGACGGTTTTCGAGAAAAAAGGCTTTTAATTAAACTGTTACAATATTACGGTGTATAAAATAAGTTGACTTTTCTCAAAGTAGGCTTATGTCAAAACATATTGATGGATGTCTCATAAACAACGAATACATTCTTAGTAATATTTTAAACTCTAACCTTATATCAAAATTTTAGTGATTGTTAGTGACTGTAGTTAGTAATGGCTAATTACAGTCACTAAAATTTTGATATAAAGTTAATTAGAGTTTAAAATATTACTAAGAATGAATGCATTGTCTATGAGACATCCATCAATAAGTTTTGACATAAGCCTACTTTGAGAAAAGTCACTTATTTTATACACCGTAATATTGTAAGAAAACAGGCTTTTAAACTCTTACAATATCTAATCTCTTGCAATATTACGGTGTATAAAATAAGTGACTTTTCTCAAAGTAGGCTTATGTCAAAACTTATTGATGGATGTCTCATAGACAACACATACATTCTTAGTAATATTTTAAACTCTAATTAACTTTATATCAAAATTTTAGTGACTGTTATTAGTCATTACTAACTGCAGTCACTAACAATCACTAAAATTTTGATATAAGGTTAACTAGAGTTTAAAATATTACTAAAAATGTATTCGTTGTTTATGAGACATCCATCAATAAGTTTTGACGTAAGCCTACTTTGAGAAAAGTCACTTATTTTATACACCGTAATATTGTAAGAGTTTAATTAAAAGCTTTTTTTCTCGAAAATCGTCCACATTAGGAAGTTCTAACANAAAATTTTGATATAAAGTTAATTAGAGTTTAAAATATTACTAAGAATGAATGCATTGTCTATGAGACATCCATCAATAAGTTTTGACATAAGCCTACTTTGAGAAAAGTCAATTATTTTATACACCGTAATATTGTAAGAAATTAGAAAAAAGGCCTTTAATCTCTTACAATATTACGGTGTATAAAATAAGTGACTTTTCTCAAAGTAGGCTTATGTCAAAACTTATTGATGGATGTCTCATAGACAACGCATACATTCTTAGTAATATTTTAAACTCTAATTAACTTTATATCAAAATTTTAGTGACTGTTATTAGTCATTACTAAGTGCAGTCAATCACTAAAATTTTGATATAAGGTTAATTAATTTAAAATATTACTAAGAATGTATTTGTTGTTTATGAGACATCCATCAATAAGTTTTGACGTAAGCGTACTTTGAGAAAAGTCACTTATTTTATACACCGTAATATTGTAAGAGTTTAATTAAAAGCCTTTTTTCTCCAAAACCGTCCACATTAGGAAGTTCTAACAAGAGAACATTATTTTTAGAAAATAAAATTGTACATTAGAAATTGTAGCCCGAATGGTAAAAACCCTTTTTTTCTAGTTTTTGGTCACAAAAATCACCTGTACAGTTTTGTCAGTGATATATTGCAACACTATACTGTATATTTTTTTACATATACATACAGGGTGTACAGAGTGGTGTGTCAAAAATGAAAGCATATTAGTTAGTATATTCTTATATACATTTTTGTTCTCGAAACCCCTATTTTTAAGGTGCAGAGTATATTAAACTATTCAAGAGAATGTTATGTTTCTAAATATCTCCTGAACTAATGAAGATAGTGAAATAAAAAATCGAGAGATCTATTTCGTTCAATATAAACTATGCTTTCAAAATTAATAAAAACATATATTTCTAATGGTGTGTTAAAATTTTTAAGACAGTGCAAAGAAACATACCCCATCCAAATTTTTTTACAATATCTTCCTTTATTCGGAAGATATTTAGAGATATACTTTTTTCAATTTCCTGTACCTTAGAAATGAAGACTTTGGGGGCGAACGCTTCTATAAGAAAGTGTCTTAAATTTAGATGAAAGAAAAATGCTCCTTCATTTTGACACTTTATTTCCTTACACCTTCTGTATTAATGATTTAAAAAGTAAAAAGGAACATGTGAATTGGCAAGTAACCCGTTCACAAAATAGTTCTATACTTACACCAGTGATTAATAATTGGTGACGTGTCCATTTTGGGACCCAAGAAAAGGCCTCTGATAAGAAGATCATGTGAAAAATCAGTGAAGAAGCTACGAGGAACAACACACTAAGGCTTACATAAAAATATGCATTCTGCAAAAGAATTTTTTTATTAAATAAGTTATACTAAGTGGATGGATATATAAATTATTACAAACAAAATACAATTGAATCACTAAATCATCCATTTAGAGAACTAAACGACTAAAGTCTTTAATTGTAGAAATTTATATATATGTACCTTAATATAGAGTGTGTCCTATAAATATGTGTACAACGGAAGGCCATAGATTCCTGGACTCAAAATAGGTTGATTTAGGCAAATTCAAGAATTTTTCAGCCAAGCGACTTGAGATATAGGTGAATCAGCCTGTACTGGCCTATTTTGAGTACTAGAATCTGTGACCTTCCGTTGTACATATACTTACGGGACACCCTGTATAAGATAAAATGAATTAGTGAATACAATTATTTTAAAACATGGAATAGGTGTGTCTTCTGCTTAACTCTGTTAAATTACGAAAGAAATGCTTACCACTTTTCCCCAGTTAAATGGAAACAAGTATATGATGTGGGATATATCAAGAAACAGTAGAAGACACGTAACAAAGATACTTAAAAGTGTGACGAACATCATCAGACGTAGTCGCCCCACTAATGGAAGCATGAAAAGCCCCACCTTCACCGTGCCAGACGTACATAAACATGCTAAGCAAGCTAAGGTCGTTATCTACAACAAAGTGTATTATTTTTCATTGAACTAATGAGCTTATCGCTACACCAATTGAAATTTTAATTACAGTCAATATAAAAAACTCTTCGTGCAATGAAAACTCTGTAACATATTTAAGATTAAAAATAATTAAAGCCATAATCTGGAAGAGGCGGCTAAGAAGTTTTTTTTACATGACTTGTAAGTGGTAATTGAAATACTGCATCAAGTTTCCAACTTTCTTCAAAACTGTTTCAAAATTCATCCAGTTCATTTATTTTATCTTTCCATCCAAATTTTAATACAGTAATCCACGATTAGAGTAGAAAGGGGAGTACATTTTTGTTTTGAACTTTACAAAAAAGCTATTCTCGATAAAGAAATTTGTATGTTTTTAAAATAAGGACACGTTAACAAGTTATGCCAAAATTTTAATTTGTTGATAACCCAGTTTGATCAAAAACAAAAAATATATCATTAGGAAGATAAAAATTGAAAAAAAAAATGTCAGTATAAATATTCGTTGATAGCAGAACCGACAGAAGTAAAATTATTCTTTTTTAGTACCTCTTGAACAAATTATAAATATATTTTATCCAATGATTCCTTTTCTTTATTTCAGAATAGTCAAAGTATGCTGATTTAACCACAAATTGAAATTCTGACATAATTTTTAATTGTAAAATAGCATTTTTTACGTCGATATAACAGGGGCAGTTTACTCTTCCTCCATTTCTCAATTTTTTGTTTCTTGAATACCTTGTAATATAAACTTAAATTTTTTTAGAAAACGCCATTTTAAATACAAACGAATTATTTATCAAGAAAAATTTTCTATAAAATGAAAAACTGTAACAGTCGATACTGCATACAGGATGTCCGGAAACGAATGGGTCACACTTCGAAGGGGCTGTCTTGGATGAAAATAAATGTTACCTAAATACATACATATTTCTTTAATTTTATATCCAGTCCGCACCCACTGAGCCTAGCTTGAGAACAACAAAGACATGTCAAATATTCCAAGCTAAGGGAGCGAAAAGTAATTCTGTAACTGGTAGCAACCAGGTACACAGACCATGGCAAAAATAGATTTCGATTTTCTGATGCGGATATCAGTAACAGAGAGATGAGTATTTCGGTATTCAGGTGTGTTCGAATCTGATTAAACTTCATTCTCTTGCTAAATCTATGCCTTTATTAAACTTAATGATTTAGATAAATTTATCTCTATTCAGAAGTAACCTACAGATATAGTCTTCAAATGTTGTCTTGTGGATCTACATTTAAAAGCATATATCAGCAGAAAAAAAAAAGACTTTCTGTAGAAAATATTAAAAAATGATTTAGTTATCTAAAAAAAAGTAAGATTATAATCTTTTTGATAAAGCAAAATTGTATTGATTTAGCTTAATCTCAATCGGTTTATTTTCTTTCAAGCAAGCTACTTATAAAATATGGCACATTTGCTTCCAGACACCATAAGGCTTATTCGGTTTACAACAGTGAACGGTTCAAAATAGTTGATGTGAAACATCAACTAGAAACATGTTAAAAATAGTGGGTAACCATTTTATGAACTGTTCTTGGAATAGTTCGCAATGGGAGCATAAAAAGGCATATATTGGATATAGGCGTTACTTACCAGCAGCAGTAACCTGCAGAACCCTGTGGGCGTCTTGAGGTGAGTGTGGTCGCAATAGACGATAACTCCCGAATATAGGGACAGATCGGGCGAGGCGGCGCGACGGCGGTAGTGAGAGTGCGAGTCCCAGGAGTTGACTGTACCAAGGGGTGATTCGCACTCACAACCTCCCGCACACTCAGCGCTTAGGGCCCCCGTCCTGCTGCCCGCTATCTCAAAGTCCTGCAACACACAACTCATACCATCGGGGGCCTGCAAACCAACATCTAGCATACACATCGGACATGAACAGTTTCGAACAGTGCAACACGCGATAGCCCGTTTCTATCGTTCTGCTCTACACATCATCAGGATGAACCAAGAGTTATCTTGATTATAATACATATATCACTTAACAAAGTTCGGTTAAACACCATAAATTTATTATTCAAAGATAGGCCATCCCACGTTTCAAACTTCTATAGGTACGTATTATATTTATCCCAAATTAGTATATTAACAATTAGGTAATATTTTAAAGGCAAATATTATCATACACTTTAAAGACAGGAGTATAATAATCAAGATATAGGTATTTATAGTACAAGTGAATTTTTAACAAAAATATATTTAGTAACGAAAATAATATGCATGCACAAATATTTGTTATAATAAAAAAATATTTTTTTACGATTTATATAACACAATCCTGTTATACTTTAAATTTCAAAAGAAATGTATGTACCATTATTTATTATAGATATTGATCGTTAATCACATTTTTGCTATTTAAAATCATTCAGATAAAAATTTCTTCACATTCTATAACATGTCTAGTTACATTACTAGTGCTAAAAATTTAATTTTTACTAAAATTAAAAATATTTCCTAAGTTTTCTAACCCCAACCTTAAGAAAAATTTTTTTTAACTAATACACTTTTACATTCACAGTACTTCACAAAAAAAAAAGTTCATAGATTAATATGCGATAAAAAAAAATCTACTGACCTAGTAGTACAGCACATATTTTTTATTAGTTCCACAACATTCACCTTTTATCAGTTTTATATGGCTGATGGGTCCAGAAGTGGTCAAGTAGTCTTAAACTATGTGAATAAAATATATCGGTACTGTATACTAGCTAATCCAAATCATACTCGCTTCTATAACTTGTTTCTGATTATATTGGGTATAAATCAAATAATCATCAAATTAACAATTTTTTTTACACACAAAACAAAATCACGGAAAACTTTAATTACACAAAAAAAATATTAAATAAATTTGAACTAAAATTACAAAATAGTTTTTCGAATCGATTGAAATAAAAGAAAATAGTGCATTTCATTTAAATTTTAAGTGGCATTGTGGCTTGGATCACCCAGTATAAAATAGTGAATATTTCACACATTTTCGTATGGTTTTTAATCTTAATTCTTCTTAACACTGCATTGAGATTTCATTATATTTTCAGTCGAATCCATTACTAAATAGGAGTAGTCTTACACGTTTTACCTTCTTGCAGCTGATGGTATTGTTTGTAAACAAAAAATTAAAAATCTCAAATACAAAAACCATATAATAATACAAAATTTATTAAAACGTTTACAAAATAAAATAACTATAAAACATAAAAAACATGCTCAAGCACAGTAACAACTAATTCTAAGTCATTCCCTTTTTTACAACAAACTACCTGAATATCTTCAGGTTTATAGTTTTTAGGCTCCAGGTCTCTAATATCGTCAAGTAAAAATTCAATTTCGTCAGTACTATACAAAAGATCAGACACCGAATGGATGTACCGGCTAGGCTCAGACTGCATGTCCCTCTGCCACTAAAAGCAAGGCACTGCCCCACACCAGTCCATTTTCCCGTACCTTCGACTCCTAACCAAAATTCATCACACCCCTTCGCCAGCTTCTCAACTCTAAAATAATATCAACACTAAATATCAGACACAAAAATATTTAATGATGTTTGCATAAATGCAGTAAATACATTAACAACCCTTCATGTTCTACTCAAGGAAACAAGTAGGAAAGTAGGTATGTGTAATAATATTTACTAGTAGTGACCTAGAAACTTTTTAAATAATCAAGACTTGGTTTTATACTTATAAGAAAAATATTTTAAATAAGTAAGTAATATGTAAATACCTGTTTCTAAATACCCACGAAATTTTATAACTCTATTGGTGTTTAATTACCTTAACATTTTTTTTATGAATGAAAGGCGGACGCCAAAACGCCATGTTTACGTTGTAGATTACCAATTACAACTTACTGAAGGGTGGCAACATGGCAACCTGACTATGGGGATGCGTTCACCCAGTCAAAACGATTTTAAATTATATAATTTGTGCATACAATAAAAGGAACTTTCAACATTTATCTAGAAGGTACATTTCTAGCTTTTCGTCAACAACTACAATTATTTCATTTTTTTATTTTAGATAATTTCAGATTTCGGGTTTAGTGTGGGATTAGTGGAATATTTTTTTATTTATTTTAAACATGGCGCCATTCAATTGCAAAAAAATAAAGTTCGTTTTCGAGAATTAAGAATCGATTTGAATCGTAAAATCTTTAATCGTTAAAGAAACGTGGAATGACTGCAATGATTCATAACACGGACCTAACAATTTCTGAATTTGTAGTAGATATTTGAAATATAACATACATATGTTACCATTTCAGTTGCTACGAGGTTCTGAGACATGAAAAATATGTAATCGAATATGTACTTCCTTACTATACTCACTGTGCCAACCTGCTAAGGAACGAAAACGCTTTTCAATTTGTTGACAACTGTAGTTGACAGCTGAGATCCCAATTTGCCAAAATGACAGTAAACAGCTGATCTTAATAATTAGGTTAGGTTTATTATAATAGTTTTTAAGTATATTTAATAAATACTTACTAATTTCCCGAAATGTCCGAGAAAGATTATGCGCCACTTAGCTCAGCATGCGTACGTGCTTTAAATGATAAATTATACGATAGAAGAAAAACAGCAGCCTTAGAAATTGAAAAGTGAGTATTTTTGCAAGTGGAATACCTCGAATGTCGTACATCTTTTTAAGGATGGTAAAAGAATTTGCAGCAGTAAATAATACTGGACAAATAAAAAGATTACTTAAAGTTCTGGGTCAGGACTTTTCATTGTCTCAAAATTCGCATGCAAGAAAAGGAGGACTAATTGGACTTGCAGCCATTGCAATAGCTTTAGGGAAGGTACTTGTTTCAGTTACTGTAAATATTCTTTTACCAACAAAATTTTGTTATAGGATACAGGCCTTTATGCAGATGAATTAATAAAACCTATATTAGGATGTATGGCTGATCAAGACTTACGAGTAAGGTATTATGCCTGCGAGTCCTTATACAATGTTGTGAAGGTGTCTAGGGGAGCAGTATTGCCTCATTTCTCTGCGATATTTAATGCTTTAGGTAAAATTGCTGCTGATCCTGATCAGAATGTAAAAAATGCTTCCGAATTATTGGACCGGCTTTTAAAGGTAAAATTTTGTTTATAGATTTAATTCATATATTCTATAAAGTTAATAAATTTCAGGACATTGTAGTTGAAAGTACTTCATTTGATCTAGATGGTTTTATTCCTCTCCTTCGAGAAAGGATTTATACTAAAAGTCCTTTTGCAAGGCAGTTCATTATATCATGGATATCAGTATTAAACACCGAACCTGACTTAGATTTAATCGCATACTTACCAGAAATTTTGGATGGATTATTTATAATTTTAGATGATACAAATTTAGAAGTAAAAAAAATGTGTGAAACCACTTTAGGGGAATTCTTGCGAAGCATTAAGAGCGATCCTGCTAAAGTTAATTTCGGTGCTATGATAAATATCCTAATTAGCCATGCTCAAGAGAAAAATGATGATTTGGTACAGGTAATTTCAATTCAGTTACATATGTTTATCGGGATCGTATATTCAGCAAATATTCATTAACTTTTCGAATACAAATTCAACCTGTCATATACAGGGTGGTCCGAATTTTATGCAGGAAACTTCAAGGAGAGATAGATCTCTTTAAAATAATAGGAGTTTGCCTTATAAACATAGGTCTGGAATGGCCTCGTTTTAGAGATACAAGGTGTTGAAGTTGTTAAAAAATAAATGATTTTTTGTTTATATCTCAGGAATGTATTAACCGATCTCAATAAAATTTGGTACAAATAATGTACGATAGTAGGCCTTGCATTCCCTAAAATATGAGCTCTAAAGGTTTAACCAGTGGTGTACAACTGGACCCCCTTTTTATAAAAAAAACCTACGCCACTGTATTTTTTACAAGTTATTGTAACGGATTTATATTCTAATGCACTACATAAGTAAAAAATGTGACCTGAATTTTTTCCCTAAGGTTCACCATTTTCAAGTTATTCATACAAATACAATCCCATTGTGGCAGACACACAGATCATAATATTACAAAAATATTTATGTTTATGCTTAAAAGTAAGTGCAATTTGTAAGCACATCAACAAAAATTCTTTATATCTTTACAAATAAGAACAATTTAAATCAAAATAATAATAAAAATACATGTATTTTACCAAGCAACAACAACTAAACAAGAAACAAAATTAACGTTAAGTATTTACAGCAATTGTTTAAAATTCGAACCACCCACATCGATACATTTCTGACATTTTCTATTAATGGAACTAATTGAAACTAATATCATGTGGTGGTTTTCTTTTAATTCATTACACCTGTCTTCTATTCGCTGCATTAGTTGTGGTCTAGTATCTATTGGAGTAGAGTAAACTTTTCAAGTAGGTTACCCCAAACATAGAAGTCCAGGGAGTTTAGATCTGGCGATCTGGCTGGCCAAGCCACTGGACCCTCGGCACCATTATGGTTGACATTGGCATTTGGTCTTCTACCTATCCATCATCTCGTATAATTTTCATTAAGCCATTCTTGTATTATTCTCCTAAAATGTGCAGGAGCACCATCCATTTGTATCCAGCTATTTTGTCGTAGATTTAATGGAACATCTAATAATTCAAATAAATGGTTTTCTAGAAAGTTTAGAAATGACTCCGAATTTCATGAGGATTTTCTTGTGACCAAATATCCAGATTGTGAAAATTCACTACTCCTTGCCTTGTGAACGTAGCCTCATCGGTCCAAAGTATTTCTGGTAAGAACTCAAACAACTACTGATACAAATTCAGATGTCCCTTTGCATCTCCCGGAAGTAAATTTTGCACAGGTTGTAAATGGTACGGATTTCTGCCATCCTTACGTAGAACTTTTCAAATTTTCAATTTACTCACCCCAAGTTACCGAGATGTTCTTCGTGTACTTAGCCGAGGATCGTCGTCAAATGCTTTTAAAATTTCATTTCTGTGCCTTTCATTCCTTTGTCGTGATTTTCCAAATATTGTTTTAATCCAAAAAGATAAAAGCGATGAGTGTAAAAAATTTTGTTGATGTGTTACAAATTGCACTTACTTTTAAGCATAAACATAAATATTTTTGTAATATTATGATTGAAGTGTCTGCTACAAGGGGATTGTATTTGTATGAATAACTTGAAAATGGTGAACCTTAGGGAAAAAATTCAGGTCACATTTTTTTACTTATGTAGTGCATTAGAATATAAATCCGTTACAATAACTTGTAAAACTATCCAGTTGTACACCACTGGTTAAACCTTTAGAGCTCATATTTTAGGGAATTCAAGGCCTACTATCGTACATTATTTGTACCAAATTTTATTGAGATCGGTTAATACATTCCTGAGATATAAACAAAAAATCATTTTTTTTTTAACAACTTCAACACCCTGTATCTCTAAAACGAGGCCGTTACGGATCTATGTTTATAAGGCAAACACCTACTATTTTAAAGAGATCTATCTATCCTCGAAGTTTCCTGCATAAAATTCGGACCACCCTGTATATGCAATATTAACTATATTGTTTTGAAAAATAAATGCAATTACAATCATTTTATATAACCATAATATATCAAAATACACTTGCACAAAAAAATTCATGTAGGAGGTGCTGTGAGCAAAGAAGAGAACTAATGTACCTATATTTCTCTTAGTTTACAGCTATAACATGGATAAAAGAATTTGTTCAATTATCGGGTCTAGCTATGTTACCATATATGTCAGGAATATTTACAGCAGTGCTGCCATGTTTGGCCTATGACACAGAAGCTCGGAGAAGTATCCTTCTTTTTTTAATATTTTTCTTTCTGTCTCTAAAATAAATTTGTTAGAAACGCATCAATAATTGGTTGGGGATTATATTATTTGCTTCAGTAGATCTCTTTATAATTTTTTTTATTTTTAACGACATTTATTAACTTCTAGCCAACATTTTACTATTTAAAAATTGCAATGTATCTGTTCCAAAACCTGAAGAAATTACAGCGGTTTAACCTACCTTACAAAATTAAATATACTGCTCCAATATTATTTAGGCAAAAACGATCTCTTAAAGTTCTTTCCTCGTTTATTTCAAACTTAGAAAAAAATATTAGAACCAAAATTTAAAATAGAACAAACATTTTTACAAATTTGGATAGAATGGTTTCTCGGGACTTAGGTGCCTATGAACTGTTGTTGAGTTTATAGCGAAGTCTTGGATCACTGTGATCCTATTTAAAAAAAATTTCTGAAATATGTCATTTAATTATTTTTGTATCGCTTTAAAATTGAATGAACATGAAACTAATTCACTGTCTTTTCTTCCTATACATCTAAGTTTATAATTTGTTTACTAAAAACTTAATAATTATATACAATTTGATGTTCTGTTTGATCTATTTATGAATTCTAATAATCCACATAGTAATGTTAAACTTTTAAAATTATAACAGTAAAAACCACTTAGAAAATTAAATTGAAGTATTATATAAACATATTTAATTTTCCCATATTCCATTTTTAAACCAGACACAAATACTAGAGTTTCAAAGATTAAAATAATATTTACTGAAGCAGAATTGTAAATTGCTGTTTGTGTATCGAATTTAAATTTATGATAAACAAATAGGTGTGCAGTAAACCTTTGCAGATAACGAAATGATAATATTCAATGATGATTTAGTGAAACTTTGTGTAGTCTAGTGATATATTACAATGCCTTATGGAAAAGTCATTTTCACCTCTTGTAAGATAGTTTCTATGCGTTTAAAACTTGTCAATTTAAGTTTTTAATGTATGTCAGTAATACAAGATAAACAGAAATGTTGCACCTTTCTCGGAACAGAAACAATGTAATATTTTTGATTAGTTTAATTGTAAATTCTTTAATAATTGAATAAATAACAATTATTTCTATCTTATCATTACAAAAAGGAAATTAATTTATGTCAAACTATTATCTTCTATTTTTATTTTTTTTTATGCATGATTTTTATTTTGTTTCTTTTCCTTAATATAGTGACAGACATAAAAGAAACCGCAACTGCTGTCAATTTTACGCTGATGAAACTTATAGCCCTTCAGGACACTAGCGGAGCAGAACAATCGGAAGAATTAAGACCGTCCATTGGTAAGCATTAAAAGTCAACTAGTTTAAGATTTTAGTATGTACAAATCTAGGAATTAAACAATTTGAAATAAAAGCAAAAGAACTCTATTCGAAGTAAAAAATTAAAAAAGAATATGGAAAAATTTAAGAATTAAGAACATTTGAAAAAGTGTTTATAGATGGAAATAACTTATTTTAACAAAATGTGTATATTGGGACACCCTCAAATATTATATTAGTTGTGCTGAAGCACAAATTAATATTTTATTTCAACAAAATATGAATTTTTCATGATAACAATGAATTATGAAAAAATTTATATTTTTATAACTTTTATTTTTGGTCATCTGAATTTTGTATAATTATTGTCATACAGAGATTATTATAGTTTATGCAAGTTCGGTATTGACATCTAGATGCTCTAGATATATCTCTTTATCTTTTCAACTGTTACAATTATAAAAAAAAACAAAACACATCTGGAGCATCTAGGTGTTCATACCGAACGTGCCTTTTTTTTAGCAACTGAAAGCGAAATTCAGCAAGAACTAGATTTGCCTTCAGTTATTTGTGTATTGACTCAATATCTTGGGCATAATTCCATACAAACAAAAGTAGCAGTATTAAAATGGATTCACGACTTGTATACAAAACTTCCAAATAAAGTGAGTAGACTAAATCGTATGTAAAATTAAACTCGCTAGTTACCATATAACAGTTACTATTGCGTGATTATATGTGTAAAAATTTACTGGTGCAGTACCTACATAAATATGCACATATAAATTGCCATCTGCATCTTGAAGTCACCGTTTATACGGGTACCATTTTAATAATTTCCTTGCAAATATTCGCTTACACCAATAAATTCATGCACATATCGATACAAGTTAATTTTGACACTTGTAGGATGTCTCCTACCTTTCAAAAAAGATAAAAAAAGTAGTAAAATGTTTGGAAATAGAGGATATTTTTTATTTTGTCATTTTCTATGTTGACGTATTGCTTTTTGTTTGTGAAAACATTTGATTCTTGTAATAGGGATTCTTATATGGGTACCTAGTTTTTTTGTGTAGAATTCAGCGGCGATATGTAACGTTTTTCTGTAACTTCTAATTCCTCAATTTTAACAATAAAGAGCACTATATACTTTGCATCAAAATTAACACCACTAAAAATAAACCAAATTTTAAAGTTATCACAAACGGCTAATGATCTTTTTTTTTTAATTATAGGTTTATTCTTCAGTAATATAATATCCCTAATGTAGATGTTATTATTGAAATTTTAAGTTTTCAGAAGGGGAATAAGTTTTTTCTTCGAAATTTGAAACACCCTGTTGGAAGTGCCTAGATACATTAGCGAATGTCTACTTGAATCATATTGTAGGCCCTTCTTTCCTGAAAAATTTGTTTTTTTGATTTCCATCATTATCTCTTTTATTAATTGAGATACACAGTTAAATGTCAGCACATCAGTTTATTTAGAAAATTTGAAAAAAGACAAGGCAGGCCATGTGAAAATAAAAAACTAACGGCTCAAATTCTCAGTGTTTTGTTTATGAACTATTCCAGAAATAGTTGCATCAAGTGGATATTGAGCTTCTAGATTGGTCTGCGCCTAATTCAGATCTCAGTCCTATAAAACATTTGTAGGACAATTTTTTTTTCTCGTCAGTACCTATATCGAATATTTCATGTATCATCATTTAAAACAAAAGTTTGCACATTATATAAAAAAAACAAGTCATAATTTTATATACTGTGAATGTGATTTGTATTTCACATTACTCTGGTACTGTATTTTATACCGTATTTTGTATTATAACAATCGGCTTCAGGTTTCTTAGCTCTTTAAAATATTTTAACGTTCATTAAGTAAGGTATAATAGGAAAATCACAACCGTATTGTCGGTATTTGTTTAACGACGAACATATAAAATCATCTAAATTATTCAAAAACTATACAAAACACTACAAAAATTAAATATTTTCACAAAAAGAAAGGTGATAGGGCATCATAAATAACGACTTAAATTGAAAAATGCCCTGTAGTTCTTTAATTAATCAAAATATTTAGACACAGTTTTTGCCGTTCAATTTCTTCAAAAATGTAGCCCGTTTCATCTAAACCACTCCGAAAGTGTCAAAATTAGACTATCCTAAACATTCAACCAATCAGCTGGCTTATTTTCTGATCAGGACTACAAAAAGAAAACATTTATTATTTAAATGTTGTTAGTAGGAATATTTACCTTTTGATATTGCAGATGGTAGAGCACATTGATATACTTTTTCCTGCTTTACAACGAACGCTATCAGATGAATCAGACCAAGTTGTTCAACAGTGTCTTGTAGTTATAGCCGAAGTAATATCGTCGCCAAAGACAACTAATGCAGCTGTCGAAGGTAAATGACTCGTAATACGTTATTATTCGATTACGTTTTTTAATGTTAGCGTTATTTTAAATTGCAGGTAGCAATACCTATTACAATAAGTTTGTTATAAGTTTGCTAAACTCCTTTAATATGGATAAGACATTGCTAGATGAGCGAGGATCTTTTATTATAAGGTACGTACCATTCGAACTTAGTAATTATAAAAATATCAGAGAAACAAAAACTGACGTATAATAATTTTCAAAAATATTCTAGACAGCTGTGTGTTTTACTTAATGCTGAGGATATTTATCGCACATTAGCCCAAACGCTTCTAAAGGAACAAAATCTTAAATTTGCTAGTCTTATGGTGGAACACCTTAATATGATTTTACTTACTTCATCCGAATTATATGAAATGAGGAATCGATTGAAGGATCTCAAAACAGAAGTGAGTTAATAAATTTTTTTTAATTCAAATTTAATGTCTATTTTGTGCTTTCAGGAAAATAAATCGTTGTTTAGGTGCTTGTATGAAACGTGGTGTCACAATCCGGTGGCCACCGTAGCTTTATGTTTATTATCTCAAAGTTACAGTCATGTTTGCGACTTAATTAAATTATTGTATCCTTTTTTGAAACATAAAAATTTTAGGAGGGGCGATTTATGTTTTAACTCTGAAAAAAAAAAACTTTTCTAGTAGACAGTTTTGTATAATGTTCTAAGAACAATTGGTTATTAAGCAATCTAAAAATTTTGCCTTTCATAGTTTTGAAAAACCTGTTGGTTACCACAAATTTCCAGGTTACAAATGTTAATAGTAATAAGCCTTCATTGAGAACGTTATCGCCTTTACGACACTACATACGAGTATACATATTAACATATTGGTGTTAGAGTATTGCTTTTTCCTTAACAAATTTTAGTGGTAATTTAGAAGTGACTGTGGACTTTTTAATGGAAATAGATAAGCTAGTACAACTAATTGAATCTCCGATATTTGCATGTAAGTTGGTCTTAATAGATTTATATTATTTTCTAAAATTGTAAATTTATTCTTAAACTTTTCTCTTAAAGTAAACTGTAAGAAAAAAAATTAAGATAGTGCAGGAATATAATAAATTTTAGTGGTAATTTAGAAGTGACTGTGGACTTTTTAATGGAAATAGATAAGCTAGTACAACTAATCGAATCTCCGATATTTGCATGTAAGTTGGTCTTAATAGATTTATATTATTTTCTAGAATTGTAAATTTATTCTTAAACTTTTCTCTTAAAGTAAACTGTAAGAAAAAAAATTAAGATAGTGCAGGAATATAATAATTAACTAATTAATATATAGCGGCTTGTAGATGTACTTGCTAAATCAATTAGAATGATTCATGAGCTGCTGTGACTTTAGAGATTTTGTAATTATAAATCTGGCTACATAGCCTTAATTAATTAGCGTCTCAAGTTTCATAGGTGTATAATGCAGAAATATACAGGGTGTCGCACCGGGAACTGCATGAATCTATATCTAGTAAAGTACTGCTCCGAAAAATTTGAAAATTTGGCAACAAGGCAATGTCTCTGGGGCGAACACACTTTTGGTTATACTGGAAGTTGACATCAATTTCGTTATTTTAAATGGGACACCCTATATATTATTGCATATTTGGATTCTATGTGAAATTGGAGGGTCACTTTATTAAATATTCCCTATATCTAGGAGTTATAGATTTTCAGATATTAATTGTTAAAGAAAAAATTTGACAGATGCTAGGGTCCGTGGAGTTACTAGTAACTCTTTTCAGGAGCGTGATATCAAGTGGATTTTTGGTACCTGTAAAGGGCATACGTAACACTAAATTATGGTGTACCAACAAGTTAAAACATTTAATACTAATTGTTTCATTTTTTCAACTGTCGTATATACAGATTGAAATTTCCTTTCAAGCCATATAATCATTGTTAGGGTTGCCGTTACTACTTTTAGAGATATTTACAATTTTCTATTTTTTGGCCAGTTTTTCTCGTATCAGACCTGTTGTCAATTTGGCCATGACCAGAAACACTCCAAAACAATTAAAATAACATTACATTTGTCAAGTTAGTTATCAAATCGTTGTTATGTTTAGAATAGTTTTTGCTGAAAATTTAAATAAAAATGCCTGGGGATCGTTTAAATTATACTTATGAGGATTATTTTAATTTACTTGTTATTTATGGAAAAAAGCAGCAGATTCTCTACATGGGTTCGTAGCGGCCGGGAAAACCGGGAATACCGGGAAAAGTCAGGGAATTTATTATTCTTCATAAAAAACAGGGAATAGTCAGAGAATTTTAAAAATTCATGAAAGTCAGGGAATTTGATGTTTGCAACTGGAAATTTTGTGAAAGCCGGCCCTGGGTTCTTGAAAGAGATTTGTAGTTTTGAAACCTTTATAAGAGGTTGTTATGGTATAAAAAAGAATATGGAGTCCAGTCGAAAAAAAATTTTATGCATAAACACCAATTGGTATGTAAAAATGAACTACAAGTGACCTGGATTTTTTTTATAAGTCAGGGAAAACCTGGAGAAGTCAGGGAATTCTTTATTACTTTTGAACTATGAACTCTGATATATATCTTCATATATATTCCGAAAATGCAAGGGTAGAGGTAAAATCAGCGAAAATCGGGGATTATCAGTCTCTAACCTTTCAAGCTGGGTACTGCTCGCAGGGAAGATTTTCGAGCTTCGTGCCCGTGGAGACTTTTGATCTGGACACCGAAAGGAACAACATATCCAAAATTGGGCCGATTTCACCGAAAGCCAATTTCCGTTTGATTTGTGAGGGGTCCTTTCATGTAGAATATGAAAATGTAATAATATATAGGGTGTCCCATTTAAAATAACGAAGTTGGTGTCGACTTCTGGTTTAAACGCAAGCGCTAGAGAGTTCTAGATATTTAAGTTGTGTTAGCTCCAGGGACATTGCCATATTGTAAAATTTTTAAATTTTTTCGGAGCAGTACTTTCCTAGATATCAATCGACACAGTTCCTGGTAAGACACCCTGTATTTGAGTACCACTTCCTACTTGATTAACTAATTAGGTTAGAGTGTGAATAAATTCACTAGTGTTACTCACAATCGAATCATCTGATTAGTTAACCAAGTTTTAACTTATTTTCTAAATATGTGATGTTTCACACATCAGGCCACTAATATAACAAATATTTCATTTTGTTCCCTGTTATTTACCTTTTTTTTAAAATAATCAAATGTCCTAACGTAAGGTTGTCATTATTCTTTTGTGAGAGAGGTGCTCTTAAATATCGAATTTATATATTTTTTTCAGATTTGCGCTTAGAATTACTTGAAGTACCTTGTGACAAAAGTTTGGTAACCGCCCTTTACGGTTTGCTAATGCTGTTGCCCCAGACNTCGACACAGTTCCTGGTAAGACACCCTGTATTTGAGTACCACTTCCTACTTGATTAACTAATTAGGTTAGAGTGTGAATAAATTCACTAGTGTTACTCACAATCGAATCATCTGATTAGTTAACCAAGTTTTAACTTATTTTCTAAATATGTGATGTTTCCGTTTTAGTTTATAAATCTAAAAAACTGATAATGCTCGAAAGTGAAAAAAATGGCCAATTACTGATTCTGGTGATTATATTTTCACTATTTCAGACCCATAAGCAGACTTTATCGTTTGCCAATTATAATCGCCAATGTCGGAAAGGAGAGGAATTTCAAATGCCTTCTACATATTTAAACTGAAGCAACACAAACATTTTGTCTGTATAAAAAAAAAAATTTCATTTATAATTTAAAATTTCTCAAAAATCGCGATAGGCCATAGATTGGAAATTACATTAGATATTAGATATAAAGGATAAGAGGGTCCGGTCTGTCTGGTTGTTGGCATTGCTACAGTTTTAGGGGAAGTTAGGCCATCCATGGCCAGGGGCAAATGGCAAACTAGATCATTGCAGTTGGTTCAGAAAATACATCTAGAAGGCCTCTAATATAACAAAAATTTCATTTTGTTCCTTGTTATTTACCTTTTTTTAAAATAATCAAATGTCCTAACATAAAGTTGTCATTATTCTTTTGTGAGAGAGGTGCTCTTAAATATTGAATTTATATATTTTTTTTCAGATTTGCGCTTAGAATTACTTGAAGTACCTTGTGACAAAAGTTTGGTAACCGCCCTTTACGGTTTGCTAATGCTGTTGCCCCAGACTGAAGCTTTTTCCACACTTCGGACAAGGTTAAGTTGCATTCCAAGTTTACATTTACACTGTGATGACAAGTAAGTAAATTATTAAATTTTTAAATATAAAATGGTTGACTCTTTAAGAGCTTATAGTCAGTATCTTCATTTAAATTCATATAAATAACAGATCTTTTTTATTAAATAGTCTCAAAAGAGGAGTATATCTGGAAACAATAATTTTGTCTAAATTGCAAATCCAACATCTGCCGTTTTTTTTGAGGACAATTTTTTAAAAATCATGTTAGTAAATTTTTTATCTGAAATCTATTAACACCACATTATTCTACACCCCTTGCTCTGCGGCTTTTTTTAGTTATTAAAAATTAATTTTGCAAACAGAATTATTTAATTATTGAAATAAATAAAAATAAACCTTGGTGCAGGGATATTTTGAGGATATAGATTAATGTGGTACTATTAGATTTTGAATAAAAAAACGCTAACACAGTTTTTTGAAAATTGATCCTAAAAAAAATTATAGTAGACTCATTAACAGTTGAGCTTTTCATTTGTTTTTCTGTATGCGTTAACTGATTGTACAGCTGGAAATTGCAACTTTATACAGGGTGATCCAGAACTTATCCAAAAAAAAATTTTGGATGCACAGGGGACTCTTACAAATACAATTTTGTAAAGAAAAAAATCAAAAAGGGCAGTTCGAAAATGATTTAAAAATACACTTCTGCACGGCACTGGAAACTGGTCCATTGTAAAACATGACCTCGCACAATGCGACCAGCATGGCGGCAAAATGTGGTAAAAATGGACACACTTGAAAGAATTTCGCAAGGAAATAAATGCATAGAATTTTATAGCACCTATTTTACATCGGCAAATTCAACTGCTTTGCCGCTATTGTTATTATTAATTAATTAAATTTGTGGTTTTAAATAATACAATAATTTGACATAACTGATGTTATAGCCCAAAATTTTGTTCACCGACATTTAAACACATTTAGGTCCATTTTACTCAGTTTCTACGAACTAACACAAATGTTGTCTTGCTTCACCATAATACAAATGTTGTCTTGTTTCACCATAAATTAAAACGATATCCATCAACTTCGAGTTGCCATACACGCAAGCCATTTTTGACACAAACTACTAAAAAATTATTGTAAACAGTATTGCAACGACACGACGATTGTAAAATCGGATTTCAGTACTCGGAGTCGCTGAGGCCACCTGGCTCTCCACGTGTATTGCGAATGATGCTAGAAACTACAGTTGTCCAGCTACGTAATGGTTGAAAGTACTACAACTTTAATATTTTTTTCTCGAAAACGATAAGGATTTTGCATAACATTTTTTTACGATATTTACTCCATTTCTCATGTCGCATCTATTCCCAAATTATTTTGGATAAGTTGTGAATCACCCTGTATACAGTATAATCCATTTGAAATGGAAACACAAAAAGTATTTATCGACTGGTTTAATTCTTTTTCTCAGTGTCAAATAGACCCTCAATGAATTTGTACCAAAATTTTGAGAAAAAACATTTATTGATTATAAAATTAATATTAAAGGTTTTAACAGTTCCATTCTTTCTAAATGAAACGTATAGAACTATAAATAAATTAAATAAACAAATAAAAAGTTCACTTCTTAAATGTGCAGTTCCAAATTATACAATAATTTTTTATTTTAATGGAGGAACCATAAATTATGAATTAAAAAACATACAAAAATACATAATGACATGTCATGAACAGTTACACAAAAATGGAACGGTAATATCTTAAATTTAATTTTTAATTTGGAACTGTACATTTAAGAAAAAAAACACGTTTATTGTATTTATGACTCCATAGGTGGTTTATCCCAAGGAACAACGGAAATGATAAAATTTTTAATATTAATTATACAAAAAACAATGTCAGAATTTTTTTTTGTACAAACCCCTTGAGGAAATGTAGGATCCATTGGCTTAGGCAGATATTAAATAAAAAATTTCATATTTTTGGTAAATTCACAAGCTCTTATCTTTCAAAAAAAGAATTAATTTTATACAAGTGTTTCCGTTTTCCGTACTGATATTTTTTTGCAAAATATTTGTTACTGAAGCTCTTATATTATTTACATCTCACAAGTGTTTTACACTGAAATATTTTATTTAAAAAATGTATTTTTCATTAACGTATTAGTTATATGACAAAATTTAGACCTGTTTGAACATTTTTTTAGTAATATCTCAGAGAAAAAAGTGGTCCGTCAAAGTGGTATTAATTTTCAACAGTTGTTAAACCATTTTATACAAGTACAAGAAAAACACAAAGAATACAAAAAGAATATAAGGACGAAAGAAATATTGTCCTTGGACCGAGAAATGAGTAATATTGACTTGTAAATTGTTGTATTTATATCTTATTATATTATATTGAAATATAGTGGTACATTTCCTATATCAAGTGTTTTATTTTTAAGGTTAAATTAACCCCACACCCTAGTGATTGTTTAGATTAAAATATTTTTATTATCAAGAAATACAACCAGATTATACTGAATTTGAAATACAGAGTGGTCCCGAAGTAATAGGCCAAAATTCATGGGTAGATTCCCGAAGCAAAGATATTGCGATTTAGCCGAACTTACCTTAGTCCAAAAGTTGACAGCTAAAGAGATACAGGGTATTAAATGTAAAATATTATTTTAGTTTTTTTTTCATTTGTTCCTTAACAAATGCAAATATCCTCACAAAATTTTGGGGTTTGGAATTCTTTAAGTAGAGGAATTGAAATCTGTTCACATTTTGGTTATAGTTCATAGAGGGCGCTAGCTGATTAAATGGGTTAAAAACGACATAACTTTTTTATACTTTAAGGTATAGTCTTTCCGAAGTCAGTTGAACATGTAAAAAAACACCTGGCAATAAAATTTAATGATTCATAGGCGTCCCTAACAAAGTTTTCTGGTGAAGGTAAAATATAATAATTTGTATATATTGTGTAGAAATTTTCTATTATATGTTCATTTGGCCAACAACATATTTTAATTATTTATGTCCTCAATTTTATTATATTGATGGTAAATTTCGTTTAGTTCCATTTCCCTCTTATTTCTCCCTTTTGCAATTGTAATATGAATGATTAACATGTTGACTGTGGTACATACCTCGGGGGGTATGTACTCATTATAAAAAATATGTGAATCTCAATAATCACATTTTTACTGTATCTTGTGGAAGTTGCAGAATCTGTATTTTTTAGAAATAATGATTTTTCTATTATTTTCTTTTCAAAACTCTTTGCGAATGAAAACGTTAGTATTCTAGGATATATAATTACAGATACATGCTAGTTTATAGCAATAATTGTGTTATTTTTAATTTTATAGGGTCAAATGTAAAAAAAATTACATATCCCCAGGGATATGTACCGCACACAGAAGAAGTTTTGTTACATATCTCCTAAGATATGTATCGCAGTCACGGACAAAGTACATTAAGATTATCTCGCAGTGAACGTGTTAATAGAAGGTGTCTATAATAAATTAAAATTACCTGAATCACACCAAATTCCGCATTGCTGCACTGCACTGCAGGGCAATTTGTCAACGACTTGTCAACAGCTGAGATTTATTGCCCAGTGGCCCAATGCAGCTGTGTTAGATTTCGTTTGCCCGCGCTCGCATTCTTCAACTGGGCGTATATATTTCTACTACCTCCACGTTTAGTTCCACCAGACCTCTGTATAGGTATGGCTAAATAAATATGGGAACAAATATTTCAATGCCTAGTTGCTGCGTCAGCGACTGAACCTGGTACATACAGTCAACCTCTTGGTTCTTCAATTGATATCGGAAAGACTATATCTCATCTTTGGTATCAAATACTTATTTTCCAACTTTTTTTACACAAAAAAAGTATACTTTATGAAACTAGCTGTCTTGCACCGTTTTCAAGTTATTTGGCCTTGAAACTTCCAATGCTGTTACAATTACATAAATAGGTACCTACCTATTATTAATTTAACAGTAAAATTTCTTAAGTTGGGACGAAAATCAAATATTTGACGTTTTCCACTTGTCTTATTGCTTTCATTTGTATGCTAATTTCCATTAAGTATTATTCGTATCTAATTAAAATTATATCTTATAATTGTATATACATAAATGTGAGATACAATGCCGAGACTTCTGTTTCTGGGGTTACACGAAATCAGTTGTTTATGAAGAAACTATAAACACCTGGGAAGAACTTTGGCAACAGGTTTTCAATGCTGCAAAGTCATTTCGCATTAAGGATTTAGACTTTAAAATAAGACAGTCTTTTAATAAACGCGTTGATAAATGTATGATAAAAGTTAGAGGTGGACATTTTGAGCAGTTATTGTCAAAATGGCATATTTTTTACTAATGTTTACTATTTTACTGTTCATTACAATTTTTAATTCTAAATAAACCCTTATTTTTAACATTTCTAAATTATTTTAATTATTTCAACTATTTGCATTGGAAGTTTCAAAGCCAAATATCTCGAAAATGATGCGAGACAGCTACTTTCATAATGGAAAATAAGAATTTGATACCAAAGATGAGATACCTTAAAGTACAAAAAAGTTGTCATTTTCAACGCATTCAATCTACGGCAACTAGCACCCTCTATGAAGTATAATCAAAATGTGAACCTATATCAATACCTCTACACAAAGAACCCCAACCCCAAAATTTTGTGTGGATATTTGCATTTATTAATAAATAAATGAAAAAAAAAAACAATAATATTTTACATTTAAATTCTTGTATCCTCTTAACTATCAACTTTTGGACTAACGTAAGTTCGGTTTTATCTCAATAATTTTGGTTCTGAATCTACCCATGAATTTTGGCCTATTACCTCAGGACCACCCTGTATATGTATACGAATATTTATAGATTAATTTATGGATGTTTGAAAGTGTAACTGAGAAACTGAATGCATGTTGTCAAATATTTTTCAAATAGAAACGTACTTTACAATTAATTATCTCCAAAATATTTAAATGTTATAAATTGTTTTATTCTCAAACTGCTTTTAGAGTAACAATTTAATTTTAATATTCAACATTTTGCCACTTAAAAATATGTTTTATTCATTTCGAAAGTGACAAAATACCTAAATAAAAAAATCTGTATTATTTAAATAATAAATACTTTTTTATTAACGTGTATTATAACTTCTGGAACACATAGATGGAATTAATGATAATAACCTCATTATTAAACTACTAAATCTCTAGTGCTTTGTTATTAATTCCTTCCAAAAATAAGAATGATAATTGACGTACAAATAATACATTATAATCTGTAATTAAAATATTTCCTTGATCAGATTAATTTATAAAATAACTTTTGTAATATCATAATCTCCATAATCATCAATCACATATTGTTTTATATTCCCTGACAGATTTCCGGCTTATCTTGGTATACTTTATCTACAAATCATTATCAAAACGTATTGTTATTTTTGTAATATCTGCACCACTTACAAATTTTACCGCACAAGCTGAAACAAAATGGCAGCAAGCGCCGTTCTCAGAAGAAAATCCCAATTATTTTTAACGAGTATATCTCCTGTTACCAATACTTACGATGAATTGGTGAAAGAGAAATTAGAAACCGGAAAATTCCCAACCACCATGACGGGGGTCATTAAGATAATCGGAATGGTAAGATTTTTAGAGTAGTTTGTTAGCGTTAATAACGAATGAATAATTTTAGCTGGTGCTCATATTTACTTTGGGATTTTTTCTTGGACAGCCTACTTGCAAATACACCTCGTCGTGGTATCCTTACCTGTTTCCATCGAGTTTGGGAGCCAGTATCGCAATACAGTTTGTATTGTTTTTTATATTTTCTCTAGGGTTGACTGTTAAAAGACCTGGACTTTGGATATATACGGTAAGAGGAAAATATATATCTTATATACTGGGTGACTTATAGCAAATATAAGAAAAGGATGGAAGGAGACATAGCATAAAAAAAGTTGCAAGTTTGCCTTGTAAAGCCACTTACAGTGTTGAAATACATAAATTAAAAAGAAATATCAAAAATCCCTTTATCTTTGTCCGATTTTTTCTGCACTATATTATTTAAATAATATAAATTCAATAGTAAATGATGTCATTGACTTTGTTTCAGGATGTTGCACTTAATCTAGCTTTTTCGATAAATACGATGATATGTTCGGTTGTTACAATGAAGCAATGTTCAGAACAGGGCTCACTAACAAAAATTCCAGGAGTAAGTTTAAGTAATTTATAAAGATTGTTAACTAATTAAAAACATTTAATTTACCTTTTAGCCATTTGGAATTGCGGGAGGAATGATTTTGATAATAAGTTGTGGATCAATTTTTCTCATGTATCGCTACATAGATGATGAAATGGAATTGACTCCACCACCACCAGAAAGCCAGAAAACTAAACGATCAAGATCCATTTTTGCATGAAGGCAATGAAGTTATCGTTATATTATTAAATAATACTCATTGTAAGCACAGTTTGGTTTTTAATTGTAACTAATGTAATGGATTTGCAGTTGTATGTATGTAACTCAATTTCACTGAAGGCGAGTTCAATACACATATTATATAATGTAGTTGCAGCAGTAATTAAATAATCATAACTACCACTCTGCAATAAAGACAAATAAAGATCTGTGAATGTAGAAGCATTGGTTTTATAAGCTGTGCTACCTAAAAGCTTCAGTCAAAGCTGAGTTCTTTGTGTAGATACGTTACAATAAAACTCGAATTTTATAACCAATTTTTTTTTACTTCCTTTCCCATGTCATAATAAAAAATCATTAAAATTTAGTCAACAAAATATTTTCTTTATACATATATTAATTTATAGGTAAGTGAATTTTGAATTTTTTTATTGTTCCTAGTAGTACATGTTTATACATATGCAGTGTATTTCAGCCAAATGGAATAAATTCAATAATAAATAAATAATGAGGGTGTGTTCGAAAAAACACTCGGACACGTTGATTGGTATTTTTAGTTGCGCATTTTTTCAACAAAAACTTGTTATAGAGGATGTGTCATGTAACAGTGGTATATACCAACTTTCTTATTTTAAATGCAACACCCTGTATATTATTTAATTTTTGGATTCTTCAGAAAATTCTAGACATATTTCATGTACAACGTCCTATACCTATCTTTAACTATTTCGGAAATATTGAGTGTTCAGATTTATTGCAAAAATTAACATTAGAAAAAAAAATTATTTCGCTACGAAACACTCAGAAACTAATATGTAATACTGTTTATTTATTGATAATGTAAAGAAGCAAAACAAAAACATTAATGTCAATGTTCATGTTCAAAATGCTCGCCGCGAATGTCTTGGCAACATCCTATCTTAAATAGAAATTTCTTCTAACGTTACTCAATATTCCAGGCATGACCGATCTAATCGCAAGCGTTATTCGTCTTCTTAAGTCAGTGAAGTCGAGGGGTTTAGTCTTGTATACAATACTTTTGACATATCCCCATAAGAAGAAGTCTAATGGTGTCAGATCATGCTGGCCATATGAAATAAGTCGAGTGTGTTGTAGCGAATTTCTGTAATCAAATAATTTTCTTTTTTTAATGTTAATTTTTACAGTAAATCTGAAAACATTTAATATTTCCAAAAACAGTTGAAGATATTGTACATGAAATATGTCTAGAATTTTCTGAAGAATCCAAAAATTTAATAATATACAGGGTGTTGCATTTAAAATAAGAAAGTTGGTATTAATCACTGTTACATGACACACCCTGTATAACAATTTTTTGTTGAAAAAATGTGCAACTAAAAATACCAATCGACGTATCTGAGCGTTTTTCGAACACGCCTTCATTTATTTATTATTGAATTTATTCCATTTGACTGATACACACTGGTATGTATAGAATAACCTGAATTTCATGAAAGCAAAAGATACATTTACAAAAAATTCTGATTAAAATGTAGATTAGAGAAGTACCTACAAATTGGTGATATATGAATTCTAAGATAAAAATATATTGTACTTGTAAAAAGATAGGAGATAGGGTTACTTTTAGAACCTACTTATGAAATGATTAATAATTAATAAAGCTCTTGCCAAGATAACTGCTTATTGATTTCTTTTGTCAAAAAACGAAACGCTCTAAATTGAAGATTCAAATAACGATTCCTGCTTTCATTATCAGCATATTGCTGCTGTCGGCTATATTAACATCAGAAAACAATCCTTATTTATATAACTCTTAAACTACAAAATTAAAAATAGTGGTTCAAGTATTTTTTTTATTTATCTCTAATGATAACACATCCGTTTGACAAATATGGAAATACATCATTTACATTGATAATCGAGAACCATATGAGGCATTTACCTTATGTCAACAATGTTCTGTAAACAGATCGAGACATATCTGCATATATTAACAATTATTTTTGATAAATTCTATATTTCATACCAGTTTTTACGTACATTCAAATATAATACCAAAGAATAATTTTTCCTACGAATATGGGTCGTGAGTTGTTTTAAACATCAGGGACATCAAAGTTAATTAAGATTTAAGATAAATTTTAAGAATATCTGGGAAATGACTTTTATTCCATTACCGAATGCATAGATTTGTCAAATTTGATTTCGTGATAATATACAAATAACATATTTTAATGTTTGTTATGTTATTTTAGAGGCATATTAAAAAATATTTTAAATTCCAGTAATTTTAAAATTCTTCGCCATAAAATACACTGATATTGCTATTGGATAAAAACTAACCAATAGAATTTAAGCAGAATATGCGGACCACAGTTAAGGTCACTAAAGAAGTATGTATAAGACAAGGATATTTATCCTTGTGTATAAGTTACAGAAGATTTTATCAGGGCCCGAGAACTTATACTTGAAAATATGGGGAAACTCTGGGAACCACGTGACTTGAGATGGATATACAAGTTGGGGAAAGAGTCTACAGATGTCGCCACAAAGATTTTGTAGAATAAATTTTGACAATTGCAATTATGAATCATTTCATGTCATTTTTGTTCTTGTTCATGTTTATTGTTTATTGTTGGTTAGGTTTGGCGAGTGTTGGTGTGTGTTTTATTTGTGTTTTTAGTGTGTTTTATTAGATATTTCATTCACATTTATTTATATAACATAATAATGTCTGATCATCATATAATCACATTTTTTTATTAATAATAAAATGTTTTTTT